TTTGGAGCCTTTATTTCTGCTTAGCCCATTGTTGGTTCTTTCCTCACTGAAGTGATTTCTTTGCAAAGGCTGCCTTACCATCCTTGCTGAACGAAGTGTGATCGTAACTCGGCCCAGTTCCTTCTGTTGGCGTCTGACCAGAGTCCACGGTCCACTGGAAAGTGGCATTCTTGTCAGGGTTTAGTCCACAACGGCTCGTTTGAAAGTTACAGTTACCTAAAAGGACCAATAGAAACTTATTCACTTAAAAACAGGAAAGAAAACAAACAGGCAAATAAACACAATCATAGAAAAATTTTCATAGCTATAGAAATGCCAAGTGATTCAGAAGAATGGAAAAATGAAATAAACAAGTTATTGAGAAAATTTGACACTTTGTGCATGTTTGGACATTTACTTTGTTTAAAAAGCAGTTGTTTTGAGTTATTCTTCTATGAGTTAATAAAAAAAAGAGACGTCTGATTAGAATAGCTGACTAGTTCTGCAAATTAACCAAAAGAAAATTAGTTTAGAAGAAACACTGAAATCGTTCTACCTCTGAAAGATCTGCATCTATTTTGTCCAGTGGGATCTTTGGAGGTACACGCTAAATCATTAAGATTGCACCTGGTAGAACCTGGAAACCAGAAAGATGAAACGCTACGTGAAAACCACTGCTACGGAAAAGTCTGACTTGCAAACTTTTGTTTAACTTAATTACACAATTAAGAGGGTCACTTCTAATGACTGGCTCCCTTCATAAGGAAATCTATCTGAAATATCATATAAATCTCTTCTGATAAGGGAAACCCCTTGGGAATCTAGATATAGGAAATCCTGCAAAACATGCGGAGAACCCCTTACTACGATTTTTCATTCTCTTCAAAACAAGCAAACAACACGCAGATCCTCAATTTTTCAAGCAGACAAGGTTACTCAACTGCTAACCGTTTATTTATGTTTCCTTCACACCCTGATCTTGCTTACCGCATATAGATGGCGTGTTAGTTCCATCCCTGCAGAAGGGTGTTTGACTACAAGTGTCTGACCAGGGAATGCACGATCCATCAAGGCACTGATGACTGGAGGGACATGGATTTTCTGCCAAAATAAATTATCATCGGTGCATTTTTGTAAGTACCAAACGACGAGAATCTGGAAAATTGCTATTTCAATTGGGAACCAACTGTCTAATTGACCCGCTTGAGCGTAATAGTCTGGGCAACTGCTATTTCACTAATTGTCTAGGGTCCTTAGCAGTTTGTATATTATAAACCATAAGGAACATGATCATCTGCTTCATGATCATTTGACTAAATACAAACAGTCCACTCACGACAGTTGCTTTCATCATCTCCGCCAGAGCAGTCCTCGTAACCATTACACACTGCCGTTGCTGGGTGACATTCTCCTTCTTTACAAGCGAACATACTGGAGTAACACCCACAATTCTCTTCATCTGAATGATCCTTGCAGGCAAAGTCGCCATCGCACAACAAATTCCTCTTGATACATTCGCCGTTCTTACAGGTAAACTGATCTTCGCTACATTTGAAACCTAACGCAACCGGAAAATTTAAGAATCACTTATGGAAAAAATTCGATTTGATGGGCAAGCCGGCGGAATGTTTGCTGAGAGAAACTGAACATAGGTACAGAAGTTAGTATAAAGTTTCAACATACATCAGCCATTTTAGTGGTTAACCTTCAGCTGGATGTTTTTTCGTGAGGTCTAAGATTGTGTAGCTGCGGTCATTAGCTTGAAACTAAAACAATTTTTCTGCTATGTATCATGGAAGAAAGATGCACTCAGAATAATTAAATATTTAATTAGCTGTTATTTCTTTTAAACGTGTAGGCACTGAATGCCATTTACTTCATCGGCTTGTAAAACCACAGGTAAGAAAGGTAAATCACAGAATGTACTTCATGACTTCATAATGAAAAGCAATGTTCTTAATTTAGTTGTAAGCTATCTTTTAATTGTAATGAAAACAGAATCACCTGGCTGGGCAAAGTAGGGTCGTAGCGAACAATTCTCAGTAGTTACAATGACGTCATCAAATGCAACGTTAATTTCGTCTTCAAGAACATCTTCCCCTTTAAAAATGATCTATAAGAGGAAGCCCCAGAAGAAATATCAAGCTTCGATTAAATGAGCTGACATGAGTTTATTTCGTTCCCATTTCTCAGTTCTAACCTGAATTTCTCTGGCTCCTGGCCAAGCAACCTGAGCCGCTGACCATCTTTCACCGTGGTTTCCAGTCAGATTCCATATTAACACCGGATTCTCTCTATTTGTGTCTCGTAGGTAAACCTTGAGAGTCGGCTTCGACTTAGAAGGCATGAGGTAATGGAAACGCAGACACACGCCCACGGATCTATGGAACGGTTGCCATGGCAATAAAGGACTGTCCAATTGTACTTTGTAAGGGCCATCAATAAAAGCAAAGCTACCTGTATTGTAAAAAGGAATCTTGTACAGTTGCAGTAACGCATCGCGTTTTCAGTGAGCCAAAGCTGGAAGGACACGGGAAAGTGTGCCTAGGAAGTGTAAATGTACATTGTCTCGCCAGGAGAGTATTAAAGAAACAAAACTGATTTTCAAGGCGGCTGGAATAGCACAGCAGCCAGAGCCTATCACGTTTTCTGCCACGACTTATACTCATGGGGTACGAAAGATAGGCACATGGAGTATCTAGCAAGGGAAAAGATTTGTGCCTTCAATATTCTTCAGATTTGTGCATTTTTGCCAAATTGACGCTCCAGTCAAACTGCGTGATCATGAATCAGTACCTATGTATAGCTCTGAGATTTCGCTCTCTCCTTACAACTAACCTGGATAGTTAACAAAGGGTTTAGCACTGGTTAAGTTCCACTTGTTGGGCATGTCATCAGGGTGTGTCCATCCACAATAATCAGATTGGAAATAACACTCCATTAACACCACGGCTAGGAAGTAGATAAATGAAGTTATCAATATTATCTTTTTTAAAATCAGAAGACATGTTAAAAATTACACGAGAAAGGACTTCACCTTGAAGATGGAGATGACCTAACACCCTCTGATCGACAATACTCTCCAGATTACTTGCAAACGAAGAGAAAACCTGTATTGATATGCAGAAATGTTAGGGGAATAGTACACTGCATAATATGGTTTGTATAAGGAGGGNAACTCAGAATTTTTTTCTTTGTCCCGCGCTCGTGACTAGAAAAAATATCTTCCTCTCTTTTTACCGAGCTCAAAATTTACCAAAATTTTTCTTATTCTGTTTACAAACTTAAAATGGCTACCAGCGATCGACTGATAGCGGGAAATTCAACCTCAATTTTTAATTTTCCACTACAGCGTTACAATATAGTTTATTCAGCATAAACTATAATGTAACAAGCATCTGGATGTTTATGTTTGTCGGAATATGCTAAATGATTAGAGTATATTTTTGTTTTTTAGACCGGGTTAGAGAAGATTAATGAAACTCAACTTAGACGGATGTTTCTTGCGTGGCTGGAAAGTAATTAGCAGGTATCCAATATTTCCCACTCACATTAGATAAAGAGCTATTATGTAGCATCCATGTTCTGCTTGTAATAACTCGAGAAGTCGACTATGCATATTCTATCAGAATATGCCAATTAGAATACGCGTTTATTTGTAGCCGGAGCAAAAGTAGTTTAAAAACCAAACTCAGAAAGGAAGTCAACAACAAATGGTAAAACACGATGAGAACTAGTCATCTATTTTTAATATTATTCATAGAATTTCATACTGGTGGCGTTTTCAGTCCATTCACGATCAGTGTTCAGATAAAAAAATTGGAATTTTCTTTCTACCTTTGATTTTCGGAAACAATGACCTTTGTATACCAGAAAAACGAAACAGAAATCATAGATAGGCCACCGTGGTCGTAGAAGTTTAAAAGCCCGTCAACGAAGCACTCAAACACTGAATGACAAAAGTGCGATCACTCAGCACGTCAGTAAAGTATTACTCGTGAAGCTTCCAGAAAATTTTGTTGAGTTAAGGAAGAATTGGAGCTCAACGGCAGCAAAACAACACAAATGCTTCTATAGTTACATATTCGAACCGGCTCCTTTTGACGTTTAAGGAACCGGCAAATATACAACAGAACCAATAACTGGCCAAGCCATCAATGTGCGTTTGTCGTATATTTTTGTAGCGGACTTACACAGACAGTTGTCGCTGTCGTTAATGAAATCGAACATAGACAGATGTTGTTTGCGTGGTTGGAAAATAAAGCTGATGGAAAGTAGCATTTATCTAATATTTTCTACTCTCACGAGAAAAAGAGTAATCATGAAGCATTCATGATCTGCTTGTAAAAAGGCGAAAAAAGGAAATAGAAGGCTTTTTTCTCTCAGAATATGCCAATTAGAAAATAGATTTGTTTATAGACGGAGTCAAAAACAAATGTTTAGTGCTTATTGAATTTTAATACATTAAGGAAGTCAACGATCGTTGACTAGAATTCAAATGGTAAAACGCGATGAGAAGTAGTCATCTATTTTTAAAGAAAATCTTTACATAGTTAGATTGCGCCTTTTTAAAAAGAATTCGCATTATTGGGGTCCGGCATTGATGACTCAT